TGTGCACAATAGAGGTCTTGTATGTTTTTGAACAAGGTAGTACTTTATAATTAATAATAAATGCTTTTATTGGCAGATGAAATACATATACCATGCATTCATTAATAATATCTTATTAATGGGGAAGGTTTGATCTACGTCCTCATAAAGACTGCTCTTCCACCCAACCACAAGCCTAAAGAAACCGTGATATTATTCTCGACACTGTTTGCACTTACTATGAGGAGTTCTTGCTCACATTTCAAATGGACCAACAGGTAAATCCATCAGATCAATTGGTGGACTCATAGAATTAAGAACTCATCTTTTAAGTAGAATTGCAAACAATTCTTAATCACCACAATCTAGACCTTTTTTCTGTAGATCTATGATATTTATTAAACTCTCATACTCATACATAAATACTAGTATATGATTTTCAAAGAATACAAATTATATTAGTTAATGGCTAATAATGAGTCAGTATAGTGAAGCTGGTCACAGTGAGGAAAAACAAGAATCTACATAATTTCGTCAAAACTGAGATCTTCAAAATGTATTTAATGCTATTTCTCGTGGAGTTTATAGAAATGTTTAAAAGTTTTCCGTGCCTGTGGCAAGTGAAAATTAAAGAGTACAATGATCGGAATAAAAAAAATCTCGCATACGAAGAGATGATTAAAAAATACAAAGAAGTGGATGTCAGAGCTAATAGACAGTTACGAAAAAATTAAATTAATTGAGATCGGTCTATAAAAAAGAATTAAACAAAGTCAGGAAGTCGGAAACCTCTGGAGCTGGGAAAGAGGACGTTTATAAACCATCCTTGTGGTACTTTGATTTATTGGATTTTTTAAATGACGCCACGAGAAACTATGCACGGTGAAGAGGAGACTGAATTTGACAAGAGGTAAGTCAAACTTATTTTCTAATATATTTGAGGCATAGAATTCCGAAACAAGCCTAGTTCAATCCTTGTAGCTGCGCCCTGTTGCAAGATATCTCAGGGTTGCTGTGAGTCTTTCATGGGGAGAAATGGCTCTCCTCTTGCAGGAGTTTTCCTTCTGAATGTATGGAGTTACCAACTCCGGCAATTGAGTGTAGGATGCAGTGTCCATTCGCAAATAATTGCGCCAGTCGTCGGGTTCGTCTCTCAACTCTTTCAATAACATGACTTGTGAGTATTGACCCCTCTTCAAAAGCCATTCCCTCGACCATCTTCACTGTTTCCTCTTCTTCATAGTCATACCTCTCAATCAAACATATTTAGAGTATCCAAAAAGCCAGAAAAGAAAATAATATATTATTTGGATGAAACTCAAGGACACATGGTATCAAAATGCAGAAAAGATACAAACACCCATAGTGTGCGACAGGCACATCAAGAAGAATGGTTAACTTTTTTTTACTGCAATCTCAGGAAAAGGGTATCACTTTAGATTTAGCCAATATACATAAACATTAGTTAAAAAAATATGTAATCGATGACCTTGCAGTATCTCGGATTATAACAGTACTGAGAGACTTTATCCGTATCATTGTGAATTAAATTCGATACAGCTAGTATGAGCACTTTGCTTGAAAAAATATGTTTAAATTAAATGATAATCAAAGATTTATTTGAAAATGTTTTAAAGCAAGTCACTGAAGACTACTGGTAAAAATGTTCATCATGTGATTAAGGAAGAAGAAAAAATGTGGGACTACATTATTGATGAAACCATTGAACCAATAATTATACAGCTGAACCACTCTTCTTCCCAATCTTATTCTTTCTGACACACAATAAAATATTTTACATATTTTATTTCATAGGTCGAGACAAAAATACTTTCAATGTTGGATGTGCAATAAATCAGCCGGCAGAGAAAGCTCCACAGTAGTGGTAATGGAGAGTTACTATCTCTCCTTATCGCTTACACATCTCAGAAGCATCCTGTAAGGGTTTGCATACATGAAGAGCTTTTATCACTACACAGCTTGTTTAAATAACTTAGTGCAACTAGTGATCTCTAACATTAAACCAAGTTGGTTAACATCACCTTATATAGGTAACACATTTCGTTTTATATTCTTCATAACAATATTAGATTGCTATTCCATTCAACAAAAGAAGTTTAGGGTTTCCAAGTAGTAATAATACACTCTCTCTAAAAAATTGCTACATCAGTCAGAAATAAACTGATATAATAATAATAGTATATTATGGTGTTTGATTAGCAAGTCAAGTTTAATGATGATTATTTCTATTTTTCCCTGCAACTATGAAACTTTCAAAAAAGATACTTCAGTCTGCAACACTTGGGGTCTAATATTCAACTGAGTATTAGTATTAATACTTTTAAAGTTAGAAAATTCACTGAAAACTGAAAAGCTTCATTGCACATTAAGTGCACCTGAATCGGGGCCAAGCATATTCATTGTATGCATGGCCCAGATCAGGACCACATTAAAGTCTCAGTTTTATTTCTATAGAAATAAATGACGATGGTGACTACATTCTGCTTAATTAAAATTGGTTAGAAGTTTGCTTTTCTAAAATAGATAAAATGGATATAAATCTACCTGGACCTTCAATGCTTAAAAGTCAAGAAATTGCACTGAAAAACCCGAGAAACTTAACTAAAAGAGTTAGAAATATTCTTTGCAAGCGGATAAGAGTAAGCCTTTTTCTACCATTTATTTGTTTGTTTCACTTCAATTTCAGGAACTGATGATCCTCTACACTTCTACACCTTCCATCATTAACAAGTGATGATTAAAAATGGATGAATGTACCTAAAGATTAAGAAGTTACTTTATTTTGGTGACTCTATAGAATATTTCAGAATAATTATGGATAACTTCAGTGGCCTGATATTAGATGAGGCAAATAGATATGCTATCGAAAGCTTTTGTCAGAAAGGTAGTTTTGGGAAATCAAGAATAAGTAGATGAAAACCTGTTTCTTCAAAAAAAAATGTTTCTCACTGCTAGTTTCACTTCCTTTATTATATTTTTGATATAACTATCGAACCCATATTTTGTATTTTTTTCAAAAATATATAATCAGCAATGCTATATAAGTTTTATTGTGTATGCACAGCCTAAGTTACAGGTTGAAATTCGATGAATGCATGGAATAACTTAAGAATAAGATTATCATTAGGTGTTATGCAGGGAAACAGGCGGGATTCAATATTGCATTAATTGCATAATATGTGTTAATTTAAATCTCCTTTAGATAGACGATCAAGGTTTAATTCCGTTAGATATTTTGACACTACTTTCAATAGTAATGTTTTTCTTGGCTCCAACCGGAATCGGCGGAGTAACCAGAATTATGTATACCAAGAACAAAGAATAATCTGCATTTCTCTGTGCAGCAACAAGATGAAACCAGAGCCCAAAAGTTTGGAAGATTCCCTCATCCTTTTTTGTGTATCAAGATGGAATAGTAGAAAGCCAAAAACTTTCTTTCCCAAAAATTAATCACTCCTAAAAAATATAACCCCCTTAATTCAAATAAGATCCCTCTTGGCTGGAATTAAATCAAATAGGTGAATGAATGTCATTACGATGTCATCGATGACATAAGCAGATCAAGCTTATTCCGTTTAATGCCTAGTTCCCAATT